GAAGGAAGGAAGGAAGGAAGGAAGGAAGGAAGGAAGGAAGGAAGGAAAGAAGGAAAGAAGGAAGGAAGGAAGGACACTAGCAATATCCCTTAGTCTTATATACTACTTCACAGTGCTTTCCAGCCCTCTCTAAGCAGTTTACAGTCAGTGTAGAACAGTTGCAAGATTTGGGTCCGGCTAGTCTACAGAAAAGACGGACTAGAGAGGACATGATAGCAGTTTTCCAGGATTTGAGGGGCTGCCACAAAGAAGAGGGGGTGAAATTATTCTCCAAAGCACCAGAAGGCAAGACGAGAAACAATGGATGGAAACTAATCAAGGAGAGGAGCAACCAGGAATTAAGGAGAAACTTCCTAGCAGTGAGGACAATCAACCAGTGGAACAGCTTGCCACCAGAAGTTGTGGTTGCTTCATCACTGGAGGCTTTTAAGAAGAGACTGGATAGCCATTTGTCTGGAAAGGTACTATAAGGTCGCCTGCTTGAGGAGGGGGTTGGACTAGAAGACCTCCAAGGTCCCTTCCAGATCTTTCAGTCTGACCCTGGCTCCACGGGAAGCTCCTAGCACAGGCTCACCTTGCAGGCTGCAAGATTCCAGGTTGCTCCTTGGCCGGGGAGTCAGGTGAGGTTATGTAGCTGCCAAACCGGTGACTGGATGTCGGGATGAGCTGGACCCGAGCCAAACTCAGGAGAAATCCTGACGGTGTGGAGAACCTCTGGGTAAGCACTTTTTTTTTTTTTACGTCCGGGAATTAAATTTACAAGCCTGTCCCTGGATGCTGTTGGCTGATCTTTGAAATAGCAGGTGTGTAGCTTAGAGGGAGGGATGGGAGCAGAATTGTGCAAAATTTCTGAGGCAGAACCAAGAGAGGAGCCAAAATGAAACGGATAGTCCTCGACTTGCCACAGTAGCGCATCAAATGCCTCTTGCTAAGCAAAACTTTTGTTAAATGACTTTTTTTGAGAGAGAGGAAGAGAGAGATGAGAGAGAGAGAGAAGAGAAAGAGCGAGAGAGGGAGAGGGAGAGAGGAGAGAGACAGAGAGAGGAGAGAGAGAAGAGAAAGAGAGTGAGAGCGGGAGAGGGAGAGAGAGAGAAGAGAAAGAGAGCGGGAGAGGGAGAGAGGAGAGGAGAGAGGGAGAGAGGAGAGAGAGGGAGAGAGAGGGAGAGAGAGGGGAGAGAAAGAGAGAGGGAGAGTGGGAGAGGGAGAGAGGGGAGAGAAAGGGAGAGAGAGAGAAGAGAAAGAGAATGGGAGAGGGAGAGAGGAGAGAGAGAAGAGAAAGAGAGAGTGAGAGCGGGAGAGAGAGGGAGAGAGAGAGAGGGAGAGGGAGGGAAAGAAAGAGACCCTTGTCATAACAAATGTGTGGTGGTAACCATCCTTGCTCAGCATTGTAAGATTACTGAGTAGTAAAAGGGACATTAGGAGACCTTTGGTCAGTCACTAGGCAACCAGTAGCAATGGGGAGCTGACCGAGAGGGGCTCCCACCCAAGGATTCTCCAAGGATTTCCCTGGAATTGAACTCAACATGAGCTTATGCTAAAATTGATATTCTCCTTCCATTCCATAGGACAAGTGACTGGTTGACGTTCTCCTTCCATCTGGTAGGACAGTCGTTGGTCCCCTCTCATCTTTGAGCTCCGCAAATGTTGCTCTTCTCCAGTCCTCCTTTCATGTCTGATTATATATTGACCAGACACTGATGCGGTGATCCTTGGAGCCAGCTGCCATTAGTCTCTCACTGGGCTTCTTGTGATCTGAGAAGGCTACGCAGTAGACCGTTGACGTGTGGTAGTCCAAGACAGCTAACGGCTTCAGCTTCTTCCAGCCGAAGAGGCGGATGCGGTGATCCCAGCCGGCTGTTGCCAAGATCTTCTTGTCTTGACGTAGCGTCACCTCGGAGATCCCAGGATTGGTGAGCTGGTACGTTTGTTGAAGCTACGGAAAACACCAGATGTGGAAAGATGAGCATGGCAAAAGTGCGGTCAAAAGAAACACTCAGATAAAGTTGACCTCATTGCTCCCCCACAGAAGGGAAGTCCTGTCTTTCCCGTCCTCCACTTCCTGCCATTTCTTTCCCTATTGATATATTGACACTATGACATGGCTTATAAGTTACAAGTATAGAAAGACCTCTTGCAATTGTCTTCTCTGTTTCCTGGCGCAAATTCTACCTGCCGCTTAGAAGAACAACTAAGATGAAGAAGGGCCTGGAGGTTAGAATGCATTTCGAACGGTTGCAGGAATTGGATATGGTTAGTCTAGAGAAAAGACGGACGAGGTGGGACAGGATAGCAGGGTTCCCATATTTGAGGGGCTTCCACAAAACAAGAGGGAGTCAAGCTATTCTCCAAAGCGCTGGAAAGCAAAACAAGAAGAAATGGACGGAAATTAATCAAGGAGGGAGGCAACCTGGAATTAAGGAGAAACTTCCTAACAATCAGGACAATTAACTAGTGGAACAAGTCGCCTGCAGAAGTTATGGGAGCTCCATCACTGGAGGTTTTCAAGAAGAGACTGGACAGCCACTTGTATGAAATATAGGGTCTCCTTCTTGAGCGAGGGGTTGGATTAGAAGACCCCTTCCAACTCTGTTAGATATCTAGAGTAGTGTTTCTCAGTCTTCGCCACTGTAAGATGTGTGGGCTTTAACTCCCAGCGTGGCTGGCTGGGGAGTTCTGGAAACTGAAGTCTTAAAGTAGCAAAGCGTGGACATCCCTGATCTACATAGGGACCAGCTCAAACATGCTTCCATTGTGCCATCTTGAAATGGCTGAACGAGAGCTTCTGAAAAACATTCTGCTATCAAAACAGTGGAGTGACAGTGGAGTGCCATGGTTATCTCAGGAGCTTGGAATGTCCACCTAATGCCCCATCTGGTTTATATTATTAATTCAAACAGATAGAAGGGAACAAATTAATGGGGGTTTGTAATAGTCTGAACAAAGAGGAGGAGGAGGAGGAGAGAAAGAGGAGGAGAAGGGGAGGAGAGAAAGACAAGGTGGAGGAGAAGGAGGAGGAGGAAGGGGAGAGGAAGAGAGGACAGGAGGAGGAAGAGGAAGAGAGGATAAAAAGGAGAGGAGGAGGAGGAAAGGAAGGGAAGGAAAAGGAGGAGGAAGAGGAGAAGGAAAAAGAGTGGAAGAAGGACAAGATTTTGATTTGTTAACTTTAATCCATCCTAATTGGCTACTGTGGAAATTGGGATAGATTTATCCTTCTGGCACTCAAATTTTCATTTCTTTCATATTTTGGCAAAGCTAGACACGACTGCAAGTAGAATAACTCCTGTTTTTTCTCAGGAGTCTGTTTTGGCTACAATTTGGTTGGCACGTGACTCCAAATTTGTTATTAGGAAGCGTGATGACATACAGACCTCGTTGAAATGAGCAGATCCTGAATTTTCAATTGGACGGGACACGAAACACAAACGCCGCTTCCGCTTGGAGAAAAAAATTTTTTTAGAGCTGGGAGCCGACCCAGAAGTCAAAATGATCATAAAAACTTCTAACTTCCCTTCTATCACCCCAGTTCCCAATTCTCTCTTCTATTTATGGCCCTTGCTTAGATATGACAATTCAAAATATTTTTTCCCCCCCTCTTCTCCAGGGTTCTTGCTAGAGTCGGATGAGTTTTCTGACATCTTTTCCTAAATTATTTTCGAAGCTGCGCAGCCCCCTCCCTGGAGGAGCATCACGCTTGCTAAAAGAGCGTGGATTTTCTTCCGTTTCAATCTCCAGCTGGCTCCCGAGCCAGGAATGTAGCAGCCATAAACTGTACACAGTTCAAAGATCGGTCCTTTCCTTTCAAAGACAAACATGGAAATCATATACAGGTAGTCCTTGACTTATGACCACAATGGAGCCCAAAATTTATGTTGCTAGGCGAGGCACTCGTTAAGTGAGTTTGGTGATGCCCTTTCTGGCCAATTGTGAAGTGAATAACTGCAATTGTTAAATAATTTACATAGCCATTACGTGAATCTGGCTTCCCCATCAACTTTGCTTGTCGGAAGTCCGCAACCATCATAAATGTGAATCAGTTGTCAAGCAGCCATTGTAATGGTCTCTAAAGGGAATGGTGGAATGGAATGGAATGGAAGAGTAGAGTAGAGGAGTAGAGTAGAGTAGAGTAGAGTAGAGTAGAGTAGAGTAGAGTAGAGTAGAGTAGAGTAGGGTAGGGTAGGGTAGGGTAGGGTAGGGTAGGGTAGGGTAGGGTAGAGGAGAGGAGAGGAGAGGAGAGGAGAGGAGAGGAGAGGAGAGGAGAAGAGAAGAGAAGAGAAGAGAAGAGAAGAGAAGAGAAGAGAAGAGAAGAGAAGAGAAGAGAAGAGAAAAGAGAAGAGAAGAGAAGAGAGAATGAGCTGGAAGGGACTTTGGAGGTCTTCTAGCCCAGCCACCTGCTCAAGCAGGAGATCCTATACCATTTCAGACAAATAGATGTCCAGTCTCTTCTTGAAAACCTTCAGTGATGAAGCACCCACAACTTCTGGTGGCAAACTGTTCCACTGGTTAATTGTCCTCACTGTTAGGGAGTTTCTCCTTAATTCCAAGTTGCTTCTCTCCTCGATTAGTTTCCATCCATTGTTTCTTGTCCTGCCCTCTAAGTTGCTTTGGAAAATAGATCAAAGGGCTTGGAAGAACCACAATGTCTACAGCGGTACGAATAACATCCAGAAGAGTAAAAACCAAATGCATCATGTTAAAAAGTCACACGCTTGGACTTTAATATCTTGTTTTTGGGG